GCTGCCTTACCTGGGCTGAGCCAGCCCTGCCCGCTCCTACCTGCGCTCAGCGGAGCCCGGCTCTGCACCGAGCAGGCAGCGATTCCCAAGGGGCGGTACGAGCTCAGGGGTGGGGTGTGAGCTGCTGGGAAAGGTATCTGGGGAGAAATAAAAAATAAATAAAAAGTAATAGCGTGCAAGCTCTGTTCCTGGAGGAGACGGGGACCAGCTGTGAGGCTGCAGTCCCTGTGTGACTCCGCACAGCCTCCATGGGAAAGCGGGGGTACAAAGGGCTCTGCTCGCTCTCAACTCATTTTAGCTTTGAAAACATACAGAACTGTACATCAAAATAATAAATTACCACCCCAAAATCCAGTTTCTAAGGGTAGCCGTTGCAAAGGAAAACATTTCTCCTAGAAGTGTTTTTAAGGAGCATTACACGTTTGCATTTACAGTCATGTAAGTTACATTAATTGTTAATTAAATAAGCGTTACTCTAAAAAAGAGCCTCCAGCAAAATTCTCTGCCTTATTTTGGATTTCTCTACGGAAGAAAGTTGTGATATAAACCAAAACCTGAGTTCAGCTAAAGTCAGTTAACCTCAGAGAGGCATGGCAAGGACAAGGCAAAGCAGCACTGTTGGGTTTGCCTCTCCTGAGAAACAAATAAGAAAAAATCCCAAAATTCAAGAGAGTTCTTAGGTGCTGGTGCCTCCTACGAAGAGGTGTGGTTCCAAGGAATAGGGGATTGGAATGGGGATGGCAACCAGGAGCTCTGGAGGGCTGGAACAAAAGTTTCCATGTCTCCAAAATGCTGTGATTCCCACCTGTTCTGAAATTTACCACTGATTTCAGTGTAACAATGCCTTCAATTTACAGGATATTGCTAAAAGAGATATTTAAGCTTTTATAGCACCTTTTACAAGACAAATCACACTGAGATTCCAGCTGTTAAGACCTTACTCTCTAATTTTCCTCTTCCCCATTGCCATCAGCTCAGACCTACCAGAAAACCAAATCCAGACTGAGGTGGTATCCGCTGAGGGCAAAATTTAAAATCTAAATCATTCTTTACAAGTTCTTACAGAGTAACATCTCAATGCCACATTCCAACTGAAGAAGTGCCATGATGCACAGATCCAGTTTATTTATACAACTTGAACAGGAATCATATCCCCATATCTGACTGCAAAACTTAGCCCAGGAGAAAAAAAATTCCCAAAATCCACTCAAAGCAGTGTGTACAATAAATATTCACATGGCTTTAGACTCAGCATATCCATGTAATATGGTAGAGTAGTACAGATTTTAGCAAAATATGCAAAAGGATCTTTAAATACTGTAATATAAAATATAAACACCATGAGGAGCTTGAAAAAGCAGGAAAGGAGGGAAAACCACCTCACAAAGAGCAGGTTTTGCCAAGGACCTTTCAGAAAGTTTTAAACTCCTTTTAAAAGAGCAGAACAGTGAAGGAGTGCAGTCATGGAGCAAATAAACACAGATCTAGAGGAAGGCAAGCCAGATTTCAGAGTTAAACAATGCAGCACATGCAAACGAAGACAATAATTGCAAGAAAGAAACAGAAAAGCAACCAGGGAAACTGAAACATTACAGCACTGGAGCAGAAGGGAAACAAAAACTGAACAGACTTTGCAAAATAAACTGAAAATTATCAGCATTCTTCCCCAGACTGATGTGGTTTGTGTTTGGGGTGAGGTGTTTGAAGTGTGAATATCCAGGCACACAATCAGCTCTTGCACTTTAACATCTGCAGGGTTCCTACCTGTACAAACAGCAGTGATCGGAGGAGAATGAAAACCCCTGGGCTTCAGGCTGTGACAAAATCCTGGGGATTCA